TGTAGATTCTCAGGAGGCAACAGTACTGTTTTGACTTCTCCCTCCACTGGACACCAACTAACTACTTAAGTTGATTTGCATACAAAGCAGAGCTTGCAACATGATAGCTATTCATAAAGGGTGTTTTTTTTTTTTACTTTTCATGTAATACAAAATACTTGGACAAAAGCCAGCTAAGATTTTCTGTTATCTTGCATGTTTTATGAATCTATCACGTCTAAATGCAGAACTTTTTTTTTTGCGATGAGGCATTTATTTTTATACTAAAATATCTGAATTACTTTGAATAAAACTGGAAATTATGTCCCTTAAAATAATTAAACAAATAAGGCACCAATGTTTTTGTAAGGTATTTACATCTTTTAAGGACATTCGGTAGACTGATTCCCCACTGTTGAGTCAACCCCAAAACTTGTTTGTATTCAAAATTAATTATGACAATACATATTTATATTGAAACAAACTGGGATAAAAGGGATTTATATTATATAACAAAGGGCAAGGTCACCAGAGTTCAACTATGTTTCAAATGAAATATCTTTATTTCTGAATTCCCTTGTTCAAACAGAGGCGGCGGCATATGGGTGGCAGAGGGAACGGTCGCCCCCTCGAAAAAAATGTTGGGGTGGCGTCTCCCCCTAAAATCAAACAAAATTTGTCCCTCAAAATACAGAAAATAGCGTTTCAGAAGGTTTAGATTTTAAAATTTAAGGGGGCATGCCCGTGGACCCCCTAGTAAGGTCGCGCCTTCGTCGCGAGGGATGCTGAGCAGATCCCTCCCCAACGCAACATTTCGTGTCGCCGCCTCTGTCAAAATCAGTTGCAGAAAGTCTTTGTCTTTATCGTCGTGTATAATATCGGCTGAGGTTACGAGTGAAAAAAATATTAGAATAAATGACATCGTTTGTTTTATAGTAATGGAAAAAAATGATATACCAAATGACCGTCCAGCCTTTGGCAATGTTTCTAAACTACGAGATTGTTTAAACTGTGTGTATGGTGGAATGAGAAATGTACACATATATGAATATTTAGTAATGAACAATAGTATGTTGTATAATGATTAAGTAATCTATATACAATTATGCAATTCACATACAAGGGAGGTAGTGATGTGCAGTGATGACTACAAGCAAATATTTGGGTGAACTTCTAAATAGCTAAAATACTGTTATACATTTATAAATTAGTCATATTTAAAAAAAAAGAAAAAAAACAAAAACACTGCTCATATAAAAACTACCCGAGATGGCGGAAAGGGATAGGAACAGTGAATCTATAGGATTAAATATACTGAGTCAGCCCAACGCTGGTTACAAAATATTTCACGTTCCAGGTTTCATGAAATCGTCAACAGAGGGCGCTGCGTAGTGGTACTTGTATGTGAAAAAGATAGGCGCGCATTTTGTTGATGGTACGCACGCTAACCAGAAATATATTTTTTAGGCCTACTGGCGTATGTAGAAGAAGAGAGAGAATAAAAGAGAGGAGAATTCATTGAGAGACAATTATTTTCAAAACTTTTAGTTGGGATAAATTGTTACCATTCAGTTTAACTAGGCGGGTAAAGCTAATTTGAGAAAGAAGCCATTTCTGTGAATTGGAACTGTTACACAAACTAGTCGGGTAAAACAATCTCACATGAAAGTGTATGTATTGGCCAAATTAAGTGGCAACACTGAACAGTATACGAGTGATCAGAATGAAAGCAGCAATAACATGTTGTGAAAAAGAAATGATACACATAGATGCTCGAATATTGAATATCTGTCAGGCTGATACAAGTAATAGAAAACTTGAATTTTGTAACAATTGTGATTGTTTTAGAACACATGGTTTTGTAAAAGAATTACAAATCAACCATTTACTGTATTGTATAGTCTTTTTAGCATTTATTTTGAATAACTTTTAATTTAATAATGCTTTTATGCCAGTGGTATAGATTATTCAGATGAGGTAAGGAGTATCTTGATTTTATTTTCATTCACTATAATGTACACCTTGGCCATTATGAATATTGTGATGTTATATATTCAATCGCATTGCTTGAGATTATGACCAAGGATTGACATTATTGTGATTACAAATGTACTGGTACTGCAGAAGTATCTATAAATGTTTTGGAGTTTGAACAAAATATTAGAACTGACAAAGCTCTGAATGCACGAATTAAATGTTTATTTTATAATCTACAGAAACATTAAACATATCAAATGTAATAAAGATGACACAAAGGCAATACTGCAAACCGATTTAATTTCGAGAGACAAATTTTCATGAGTCTGTATAAATCCCTAAATTTTGTGAAAATTTCACTGGGGTTTGTGACTTTCATGAAATTATGTCTTCACAAAGGCTATCAAACTGTAGAATTTCCTGGATTATTAAATGGTTAACAGTACAACATATATTCTTACATTTAATTTTAATGATGCTAAAAGTAATACACCTGAATTTACAAATAGATTTTCTTCAGACTTGCATACAGTCTCGTTTAGTTTGTGGTGTTTTTTCAATAAATTATAATATGGGAGCATATAAATGGTGAAAGCTGGGTTATCATGAAATAAACATCCTAGCTTTCATGATAACCTGGTTTTGTCATTTGTACACGCATGATATGTGAGTTTATTGAAAAAAACACCAAAATACAAGAGACTGTATACAAGCCTAAAATAGATCATTTTGCTTTCTTTTTCAATGAATAAAGCAGAAAAGTGGCAATTACTTTATGTAAGTTTTAATAGCTCTCTCATGTTCATGTACCCATCTGTACAGTACTTCGATGCATATACATAAGAATGATAGTTAAAGATCAGAGTTGTCATTGCTCACTAAGTGTACTTACATTTGGTGAGCTCAAGCCTCCTATCAGAAAAGTTAAACTTAATTAAGAACACCGAAATACATTAAATTAAAAAGCTTTAATTTTTAATACATAATTATAACTATAATCCTATACATATCATACAAGTTTGCCAGCATAGGCCATTTACTCTATTTAATAGTAACACATCTTAATGTGCGTCTATTGTCAAAATGGATGGATGCAATAACGGGATAAATCTATAAAGGTTTGTGTCCCTGTCAATGTGGTGTTGGAGGCCATTTGCATGTGTTTACATATAATTAGCATTAAGGTAGATGTCTACTCATAATTTCTGAGAAAGTTGGTCATAAATCACATGACAATGTTTATTGTGTAATATCATGGAGCTATTGTCCCATGGCAACATAAAAGAGAATTTTTTGTGTGTTACAGTGACTTATGTTGTGATATTTTTGTTCTATAATTTAAAAAAACAAAACACGTTATTTTTAGAACAATTCTATTGACCACAACAAGAAAAATTGTATTTTTTGACAGTTTTTAAAATCCGAATTTTTGAAATAAATGAGGGCAACCAGTACCCCATCATTCGCAATATATGATATTTTTGGCCTATGTCACAAGTCTACAATTTGCGATATGGCATAATATCTCTGCCATAGAAACCTATAGTAAAAGTGTTATAATAGTCCCAAAATGGCCGCTATCCACTAAAATACAACAATCACTTTATCAAAAATTAGGCTGGTGACCTCGAACTTTTTTAAGTCAATATCCTTATAATGCCCGGAAGTACAATTTATTGGAAAATGAATAAATTCTGGATATTTATATTCATGTAGTCTTTAAAGAATCAGCAGTGCAAAACATTCCCCTTAATCTCATAATCAGCCATTTAAGTTTACACTATCACAAGTTATACAGAATAGTAACGTTTTAGTCAGTAATTCGGGAATAGTATATGTATTTAATTATTCTTCTTAATACCCAAATCTGGCTTGGGAATGTATTGCAAGTAGCTTAATTGCGATATATATATATGTATGACACAAATTCAAAAGTTATAATTGTTACCCATATCAAGATGCTGATGGTAATTTATCTTTATATCATGTATTGATGTTTGGATCAGGCATTCACTGAAAACAAATGATTGAATTTTACTTTGACAAGATGAGAAAAAATAAGGAATTGAAGACTGAACATTGTATAATACATGGCTTAAACTTCAAAGATCATTACAAAGATACCCAATGATTTTGCCTTGGTACCCTTCAATATAGGGAATATTATTCCTATATGCTAAGGCCATTATATAAATTGTGGCCTTAAGAAATGAGTACCACCTAGACTCTCAAGTTTAAGGCATGTAGGTTTGCTACTCCATGAATGTTAATGAATTCACTGATAACCTAATCCCTTAAAGGCCCAGGTATACTATAAATACGCTTTTAAACAATAGGGATTATTTCCTTGCTTGTCACGCTATAGTAAACAGCTCCAGCCAAGCTCCGGTAAAAACTCGTATTCTCGAACTTACATGTCGATTATGTCTTGCCAAAGTGGATGTATGTGACTATGAATATCACAGCAGTAGCTGTGTGTAGTATTTATAACAATACATAGTGTACGAGCTGAGATTTTGGCAGATAAAAGTCAAAAACACGAACCGGGGAAAGGAACGCACTACTAATCTTGAATAATTAACTGCTGTCAATCAAAGTCACATGATAGTCCGCTGAAACAGGATGCAAGTGATTAACAACACTCATTAGCATAGCCACACCTCCACATCACACTTGCCCGGGGCAAGTGAATTGGGCCTTTAATGAGTGGGATTACTTCATATCAAACTCTCTCTGTTTACCTACATTTTACAGGTTTATTACTCGTCAGTGCACATGTCACAGATTTGTATTGTACCATTTATGTTTTCCTTTCTGAACATGTTCATGTCATATGACTTTTCTTGATGAGTATAAGTACTTTGATTATAATAATTTCACTACAAAGGAAAGGGGGGGGGGGTGTTCAAGTTATAGCCTTGTGTGTCTACCTATTATTCTCCAATTGTCCACTCATTTTCAAGAATTCTTATGCTTGACTTTTCAAACTCTTGGAAATCACAGCCGGCAATAACAACAGTGAGAAACTCTAAAAAAACTGTACTTTGGGCTAGTTGTTAAGACTCCTCTGAATGGTGTAAGAAGACTACCCCCCTAAATGTGCAACATGTATAAATTTGGTTGTTCAGGATTGTTTGATAGTTGAGTTTTAGCTGTTTTTTTCACTCTTTGATTGGCGTTCCACAGGAGAAATACATGGTACAGTGTTGTGCATCTCAAATTCTGTGAATAAGCCACAACACATTCTCCAATTGATATTCTATACACTACGATTTATAGCCATAATATAGACCAAATAGAATAATCTTTATGGACTGGATACAGCTTACGCATCCTCAAACTATGGCACTCTTGCCGCATGGCAGAGGGCAGCAAAAGCTTTATCCAGTCCATAAAGATGTTATATACCTTATAGGTGTAATTATAATTTTACCACGGTGTGACCTCAAACACACGATGTAATTTAAAATGACATTTAATGTGATTGATAAAATCCAGGCGTGCTGGGCCGGTGTGATTTGCGAAAATTACTGCCTTGATGTGAGGGTGCACTTCCCATAGCGTTGCCAGGCAATGCAAGGTATATAATAATATGCAATATTGTGTGCATCATGTATGTAAAATATACTGTATATGCTTCCCTGTATTCTACTCATATTGATGATAGATATCTCTATGTTGATATGAGTTGATGACAGATATAATGCAAGACAGTATGACCAAATGTTCCAACGAAGCAAACACATGCTCATATTCAGTGCCAGGAGTCATATACATGCAGCCAAAATTGGTGTGGCAGCCAATGTGTTAACCAGTTGTGTTTACTAGTTTATTCCAGTGCATATGGATGATCAGTTTAATAGATTGAGCTTTGAAATTCATCAAAGTGTTAAAATGATTCTGGATGCTAGCTAAACCTAGCACAAGATATAACAACAATGTTATACAATGAAAGCTTACTAACATGTTATTTTGCGTCTTTCGAATTTCAAAATCTTTCCACAAAAAACAACACAAATACATATACACAACACCAGATAAGTGAGAAAATAAACAAATCAAGCTAATCTAACTCACAAAGGAAAACTTGGAGGACAGTATAATATATACTACCATAAAATGACATGCAATTTTAATACATTGTAATATGAATTTGTAGGGAATGTTATTCTATGCCATGTGCAAATATCATAACTAGACCTGGATCTAGAGTGAAATCTTCTCCCATATGCTGGTTATCATGTGACATCACAACAACAGCTTGCTTTCCTGGAATCCTCCGGGTAACATACTGTTCATAAGTATGACGATTCAGTTGTCGAGTTTCCAGAGTGTTTAATCCAGGGGGCCAGTTTCTTTCATGTGCACTCTCCATTAATTCAGTGACGATATGCGCTGGGCATGCACTATCAATAAGAGAACGCTTGATGACCGCCTGCAGTACCGCATCTGGAGTAGATATCATTCCACCCCACCGGGTAACTCTGGAAATT